GCGATCTCGCAACAATAAGGGCTCCATCTCCGCCCCGAATCCCGCCGAGTGTCAATTTATATCGCCGACATGCTCACCGGAGGGCACTGCGCCTATATTCTTGAATTTATATCGCATTCGAAATGATAAAAAAAAATCTATAATATACGTAACGTATACTATAGTATTTTCGCGCGAATATGCGATATTTTTCGAGAATAAAGCCTTTGTACTGCCCCTATTCTTGCATTTGAAATACGTTGAGTTGTTTCCGTGTATATATTACATTGTATATTAGAATCTGATATAGGCAGAATACATATCAAGTATATGCGATATGTTTACTGTAATTCGAGATCTTAATTAATCCTATGAAATTGTAATCAACTCAACATTTTAAGTAATATGCGTATATGTGCGCGCGTAGGCGCTTTAATAATTATTATTAAAATATTTTAATTTTGTATGTTAAATATTATAGATTAATAAAGAACAATAAAAGAAACGTAATTTTTAATTCTCAAAGTTCATTATAGAGAAGAATAATGCTTACATATAAAAGATACTTCGCTAGACATAGAATTTATTATAAATTAATAAATTGTATAAAATATATTATTATGTACTAAATGATTGAATAATTTCCAATTTTTAAAAATAAAATGCATTTGTAAAAAAGGTAGCAAAGGAAAATACATAAATAAATAATTTAAAAATTTATACGTTTAATATTAATAAAATAAAAATTGTGTTAAGAAAAAAAAATAAAATAAATAATATATTTTTTCATAATAAACCTGTTCAAGTAAAACTATTCGTATCATTTAAAATAAGACCAAAATAATATAAATGATAAAATAAAACGAAAAACATGAATCATTGATTTCTATACATATACATATGTACAGGGTGTCCAATAAACGCTTGCAATACTTTGGGAGGTGATTCGGGAAAAAGAAGAAAAAAAGGTTATATAAACAGGTCCGGAAATAAGTCGTTTCCGAATTATAACTTTTATTTAAAAAATTGTAATTTACTTTTCATAATTATAACAATTATAATTTATAATAATGGTCATAATTAGGCACAGTTCGCTTGGCAGCCCTTTTTTTAATTTCTTTAACTTTCAATTTGTATTTTTTTTTTCAATTTCTCCATATTTGTAAATACGATTACATTATTTTTAGACTGAAGGATAAATATAAACAGGTATTTAAATCGAATTAAATAAGATGTTTAAAATAGCCACCTTCAGCAAGAATAAACGCAGAAACAAACGCAGACCCTTATTCTTTTATCGAAGGAATTCCGAACTCTGAAAAACATTTGGATCCTTCCAAACTATTATAATTAATATTCGATTAACCCAATTCGATTTAAATACAAGTTTATGTTTATCCTTCATTCTAAAAATAATGTAATCGTATTTACAAATATCGAAAAATTAAAAGAAATAAAAATTAAAAATTAAATAAAAATAAAAAACAGAGATGCCAAGCGGACTATGCCTCCACATGGTAAATCTTTGGTACAAAAATGAATTATTATAAAGAATTATGATTATTATAAATTATGATTGTTATTATAATTATGATTATGAACAACTACATTTTTTTTACATAAAAGTAGTTATAACTTGAAAACAACTTATTTCCGGATTGTTTATACCCTTTTTTCCTTCTTTTTGGATTCCAAATCATCTCTCAAAGTATTTTATAAGCAGGCGATTTACTGGACACCCTGTGTATATATATATATATATATATATAATATAAGATTTTTATCTACACACATACACACGCGCGCGCACACACGCGACACACACACACACACATATATATATATGTACGTTCATATCAATAATATGTATATTAAACTCTGATAAAAACCAAAGACCTCATAAATTAACGGCTTCTATGTAAGCTTCTATGATCAAGATGTGATGAGAGCTTAACCAAAAGACAAAAACTAAAAAAAATGAGATCGTAATAGAATGAAGATAGACAGACGAGTTCAGATTAAGTCAAACTTTATTTAATTCCGTACCCATTAAACTGTAAACAAGTGTCAATTTGATTCCGCAGATTGATTCTCCAGCGACTGGCATCGCAATAAAAAGTACATTCTGAAAGAAGTCACCCCAACACTCGTCGGCGTAATCTTCTCTTTCGTCGCCCCCGTTCTCCCCCCCCCCTCTTTCCTCCATCTCTCTCTCTCTCTCTCT